CTGTGGGCCAGGCCCGAGCAAGCGCACTGCAGGTCTCATTGGAGCCTCACAATGTGAGGCTGTTATCATCCCCGTTTTCCAGATGAGGAAACTGAGCCACAGAGAGAAGAAACAGCTTGTGGAGGTCCCACAGCCATTAAGTGGCAGAACTGGGACCAGCCCACAGTCATCAGACTCTGAAGCACTTCCTGGTCGCCTCTCGGCCACCTGGCCTCCCGCTCAGTATTAGAGCATCTTTCTTAGGCATTTGTTCCTCCGCCTGCAGAAGGCGTGACTCACTCCTCACCCTTGTGCCTAGGCCCATCCTCCGGCTCCACTGTGCTTTCTCTTCTGGAACCCTTTAACAACCTTGCCCCAGGAAGGATTAGAGACGGGCGCTGGAGCAGTGCTGTCCACAGGCGGGATCGGCAGTGAGCGTGGGGTTTCTTCCTGAAGTTCTCTGGAAAGCAGAATGACTTGGTTGCATTACCAGGTGGGCCCATCAAATCCAGAGTTTGGATCAGTTAAGTGCTTCTCATAGAAAAGCACTGCTGTGCTTCAAGGGCTGTGAAAGCCAAGTGGAAAGAGGACGAGCGCTGCCCGGGCAGGGGCCGGGGTCTGGGGGGCTTCCTGGAGGAGGGGACATATGAACCAGGCTTTGACGGATGGGTAGGATTTGGCCATAGAGGAGGGTGAAGGCAAAGACTCAGGGTGATGAGAGGGCCTTCCGGGTCAGATGAAGGTGACAGATGGCTGGGGTGGGGTGGGGTGGGGACCGAGCTAGGAGGGGCCTTATCCAGGGCAGCCTCCTCGCCCCCTGCCCAGCCCCTCTTTGGCGAGCCCAGAGGGCATCAGGCTGTGGAGCAATGCCAAGGTCAGTCAGGATGTCCAATAATCGTCCTAGCACTCTACCTGCTACGGAGCGATAATGAGAAGGTTTCCATTATTTTCGGGTGAGCGCCCCTGGCAGATGCCGACAGCCAGCAGATGTGTGAGGTCCGAGGTGATTTGCAAGGGACCAGTTCATGTGATGCTTGGTAATTGCATCAGGCGACGTCGTCACTCAGAGCTTGTCCTGGCCTCCGGGATGAGGTAAAGGTCAGTTCAAAGAGCCGTTGCGGCCACGGGAAGTAGGGGCAAGTACCCACCCTCTCAGGGGGTCTGGGGAGGGTGCAGTGGACTGAGGCCGTGGTCTCAGAGGGGCCGTCTGGCCAGAGCCCGGCTCTGGGCTGCCAGGACCCTGCGGTAGGCCCCCGTGCCCAGGGTCCTTGGGTGTCAGGGGATGGGGTGACATGTCATGTTCTGGAGCTGGGCCCAGTCCGATGTTGAAATCCTTTGGATTCACTCCCCTCGGGAGGCCCTTTGCAGACTGTGCCGTGGCCCTGAAGCCACGCCTGGCTCCGGCTTTCCTGACATTGGATTCGCGTGTTCCAGGCCTCCCAAGTCTGAATCTGACCTCTGGCAGCAGACCCCTCCAAGAGATGCCGAGGCTTTGGTTCCTTGGCTGTCTTAGTCTGCCATAACAGAATACCACGGCCTGGGGGCTTAAGCACGGAGGTTTAGCTTCCCACAGTTCTGAAGCCTAGGCATCCAAGACCAAGGGGCCGGCAGGGTGGGTCTCTTACTGGCTTGTTCGGTGGCCACCTTCTGCCGTGTCCTGACACGGCCTCTTCTCTGTGCTTGCAGGGAGATCTCTGGTGTCTCTTGCTATAAGCACACTAATCCTGTCATATCAGGACCCCACCCTTCTGTCCTCACTTAACAACCTTCTTTACCTCCTGAGGGAGTCGACATATGATTTTGTGGGAGGGACACAGTTTAGCTCATAGCCCTGGCCATTCAGGCCTCCCCTTCAGTGCTGACCCACCTTCTCACACTCTGTCCCCTGTGCACGCACATGTGTGCCCCATGCACACCCTTCCCCACCCTGGGAAGGTTTCAGTGTCCTGCCCAGCAGGGCTGAGCTGGGCCTGCCCCGGCAGGTGCCTCCCTTACTGGGGAAGCACCAGCACCTTCACCCCCTGGACCAGAGCCTGGGCCGCCACCTTGTGGCCAGCTGCGGGCCCGTGGGCTCCGCTGCTTATAAGCCGAGCAATCTTCTCGGGTCTCTGCCCCCCCGCCCTGGAGCCTCTGTTCTGTTGTCTCTGGAACGGGGACCGTGGCTCTTGCCTCCTCAGCTTGTTTTCTCAACATGTGCTTAGGCCCCCTGTGCTCCAGGCACCGGGCCCTGGGGGGGGTGCATGTAGGGGACACAGGGTGTATGTAGGGGGCTCTTCCCTTAGGGGGTGAGGATGAAATCAGATCATGGATACTGAGCCTCAAGGCAAGGTCCAGTGTAATGTTGTATTCATGCTTTACTATTTTAATAATAATAATGAATACTTCTGTGTTTTTTTTTTTTTTTTTTTTTTGGGTAGCCGGGCCCTCACTTCTCTGTCCCCTCCCCTTGCGCGGGACCCGCTCCGGACGCACAGGCTCAGCGGCCATGGCTCACGGGCCCAGCCGCTCCGCGGCATGTGGGATCCTCCCGGACCTGGGCATGAACCCGTGTGCCCTGCATTGGCAGGCGGACGCTCAACCACTGCGCCACCAGGGAAGCCCTACTTCTGTTATTTTTAGTAACTAAGAAAAATGAAGAGAGAGGACCTGGGACTTGTGCCAGAAAGTCAAAAGGGGGTGCGGTCAGGGGCACGAAGGGACAGACCCACAGGGAGGGGCCTTCCCCAAGCATTTCCCGCCACTTTCCAGGGACTGATTCCATCCTAAAACTAGTACTTTGATTTTAAAACATGTGTTTTGGATGAACTTATGTTGTATTTCAAAGGAGAACAGTGGCTGAAGTGTCCTGAAGTGAGTTCTGTTATTTACTCGTTTTTTTATGGGCATCGAAGTTGTGTTTGGAATAGCAGATGTGAGGCACTGTCATCTCACTGTCACACCGATTGCTCACTGTTCTGAGAAGGTCACATCATAATCCATTAGGAATAATTAGTCCCCCGGCACCCCCTGCCTTCTTCTCTCAACTGCTCCATTAACTTGGGTGCGATCGCACATCCCGGGTGCCAATCAATGAAGATCTGCCCGTAATGTACAAGGTGATGCTATTAGTTACAATGTATTAACTGCCTAATTTAAAAATACAAATGCTGTCTTTATGAAGGGCAATTAACCACTAAATGTAACTGATAATTCACAACCCCCTGATTAGGAAAGACAAATACTAAGAAAGGATTGATTACGACATTGTCAGCCTCTCTGTCTGCGTTCGCCTTGTTGTCAGTAGATCTGCCAATTTTTTTCCAAGTCGCACCTGTCCACTCCAGTGCTCAGAGGGTCTGAAAGCTCACTGTAGCGTGGGAATGCGTGTCTTCACCACTGAATCCTGTCTGTTTCCGTCAGGGCACCCTTGGGGGAAGCAGTAGGCGTGGTCCTAAGGAAGGGTCCCCCTCAGCAGCTGTCATCTGGACTTTCCATCACTCAGTCATTCAGCAAACGCTTATCGGGGGCCTGCCGTGTGCCAAGCCCTGTGTGAAGCGCTGGGCGTGCTGAGGAGCGCCCAGCAGGCCCCATTCCTGACCGCATGGAGCACATGGGTCCAGGAGAGGGACGGTGAACAGATACAGAAATGGGGCGACTGGAGATACTGATTAGTGTTAGAAAGAAAAACCTGGATAGAGACAGGGTAGGGGCAGCGCCCCACAGGGTGGTTGGAGAAGGGGACATACAGGCCCTCCACCTTTTCCCTAGGGTTTCTCGGGCCTCTTGACTTGCAGCCTGGTGTCTTCCATGGCCCCCCACCGCGCTCTCTGCAGATGCCGAATATGAAGGCTCCCTCGCTGTGGCCCGGGGTTCATCCAGGGAGGGCTGTGCGCTCTGGGCCAGGCCAGAGGTGTGGCCAGCCCACCTCTTCTCACTCCCCCCGGCCCGCTGGCCCCCTTGCTCGGCCCCCACGCCGGCCTCCTCTCCTGCCCGGCCACACCTGCAACGCTGACGCTTACCAGGTCCCCCCTTCCTTCTGCCGGCCGCTCTGCCTTTGCCTCTTTGCTTCCCTTCGGGTCTCAGCTCCGGAGCTCTCTCCTCCCCAGGGAGGCCTCCCCGACCTTCCCACCCTCCCTGGCCAGCCTGTCTCTTCACCTGTTTGGTCCTTCCCAGCACCTCTCTGCTCTCAATCCCCGATTCCCCCCTCCTTTGTGTGGTCTCCGCCCCACCTGCCGACTGAGGGCTCTGGGGGTCAGAGAGCCTGCCTGCGGACACCGTGGCGTTTCTGTGCACCCACCCCAGCCAGGCATTTAGTAGGTGCTCAGTAGCTGCCTGTAGAAGGGTTGAATGTTATTTCATTGGCGTCTCTTCAGGCATCAGCTTTGTGGCTTTGCATTCGGTGAGCCTGCCCAGGTGCAACTGGGATACAGAGCCTCCTGTGAGCTCAGACGGGAAGGGTGTCGGTGCCGCTGACACTCTGCACGCATCCCAGGCTCACCTCACGTTAACTCGCCCGTGTGCCTGGTGACTCTGTCTGGCAAACCTTTGTTTGGTGACCCTGATGAGGAGACACACCTCAGCTTGGCCCCTTGACCTTTGTATTTGGGAATGTGTGGGTACAGAGTCAGCTCAGTTGCTAAGTGGAAATGCTCGTTGTGACGGGAGGTCCAGAGGGGTGGCCAGGATGCTCGGAGGTGACCCCTGCGAGGCTGAGCGGCATGGTATGGTGGAGGAGGTGTCGAGTGCGGGAGAGCTGGCATGTGCATGGGCAGTGTGTCCCCGGGGAGGGTGGGGACGTGTCCCAGGCAGAAGGGGAGGTGCGGGCAGAGGCCAGGCGGGAACCTTGGGAGCCTCAGCTGTGTCAAGCACAGTGAGGGTGAGAATGGTCTGCTCCAGCTCCAAAACCCCTGGGGTCAGTCGAGGCCCAGCTCAGGGGCCCGTGGCGACCTGGCCTGCGCCCTCGGAGAAGCGCCTGTCCAGCCCCCTCCGCAGCAGGCCACACTGCCTGCTGACAGCCCCTCCACCTGTCTCCCCACTTCCAGACTGAAGCGGTCCCAGCTGAAGGTGAGGTTCTGCACCAATGAGTCGCAGAAGTCCCGGGGGGACCTGGTGGGGATGCTTCGGCGTCTGGGCTTCGACATCTCAGAGGGCGAGGTGACCGCCCCGGCCCCTGCCGCCTGCCTGATCCTGAAGGAGCGAGGCCTGCGGCCACACCTGCTCATCCACGACGGTAGGCCTGCTGGGCCCTGGGACCTGGTTGGGGTGAAGGCGCCTCCTTTCCAGGTGGGGGCTGGGGAGGGCCTCCGTCTCACCTGAGCCAGACCACTGGGCAGGACACAGAGGTAGCACGTGGCTCCTGTTGACACCTGTGGGCTCCCTGCTGGGGACCCGGCCCCATCCATGCCGGCCTCATACCGGAGGGTGTTTGGAGGCAGGTTCCAGGTGGCTCCTCAGAGGAAAACCCTGAATTTGCTTTCTGTGATCTAGGATGAAGCACGGTGGCAAGGAATTGTCAACGGGGCAAGATTTTAGCCTCTGGTGTGTGTGTGTGTGTGTGTGTGAGAGAGAGAGAGAGACACACACACACACACACACACACACACACACACACAGAGAGACAGGTGGGGGGGATGAAAAGCTAGACTGAGGTCCACAGGTTTCTGAACTATATTTGTGAAAACCAGCCCTGCTGTCTGGCAAACTGCACAGGTTTCCTTCCTGATATTGGTCTGAATGAAGGAAAAGAGCCCCTTGGACCCTCAGCGGGGAGTTTTGCTGGAACAGAGAGGAAGGAGCAGTATTACCTGGTGCCTTCTGAATATTTAAAAAGAAGAGGGACTTCCCTGGCAGTCCAGTGGTTAAGACTCTGCGCTCCCGATGCATGGAGCATGGGTTCAATCCCTGGTCGGGGAACTACGATCCCACATGCTGCGCGTGCGGCCAAAAAGATAAAAAGAAGAGACATAGCAACGCTTCAGAATTCAGGACACTTTTCTTTAGTTGCACTGAGCCTTCTTCCCTCCTTTGCACTTGGTGTTTTGATTTACAAATCTCTGGCAGAGACAAGAATGCTCTTCCACCTCCGGACAGGGGTGGGCCTCCAAGAGATGGAGGGAGCTCCCTGGAGGTCCGGGTGTCCAGTCCACGACTCTGGCGCCAGTCGAGGGCGACATGCCCAGCCTTTAGAAATCATGTTTCTCCAAATGCTTCCTCTGTGATCTAGGATCCCTGCCAGCGTCTTTAGAACAGGTCCTTAAAGAAACAGAAAAACTTAAGAAAGAAAATCCTCCCCTCCCCAGGGTGAAGGGAGGGGTGGGGTGGAACTACCAGAGGTGAGAGGGAAACTCAGAGTTTGCCTTGAAGGCATCATTCATCAGTGAGTCCAACAGGCAGATGTTAGAGCTTGAGAGGCTGAAGGGGAAGCCAGGTGCCCTTCCTCACCTGTAATCCTGCGTCTGTGTTTTCCATAGGTGTACCTGACTTTTCAGACTTTGAATCTTTTTCAAGTTTTATTGTCAATAAATCTTCCCCCCAACATTTTATTACGAGAATTTTCAAATGTACAGCAAAGCTGGAAGAATTTTACTTGGAATATCTGTATGCCCTTAACCTTGATTTTTACCAGTGACATTTTGCTATATTTTCTTCATTATATATCTACCCATCCCTCCATCCATCTATCCATCTTTATCTTTTTGATGCATCTCAAAGTAACTTGCAGGCATTGGTACAGTTCCCCTAAACACTTCACATCGTTAACTAGAGTTCAATCTGTTTAGTTTTTTCTTTTCATGTAAAATTTACATGCAATGAAATACAAAAATCTCAAGTGTACTTTTGCTGAGTTTTGAAAAATGCACACATCTGTGTAACTCAAACCCCTATCAAGACCTAGAACATTACTGGGACTTCCCTGGTGGTCCAGTGGGTAAGACTCCACGCTCCCAATGCAGGGGACCCGGGTTCGACCCCTGGTTGGGGAACTAGATCCCGCGTGCATGCCGCGACTAAGAGTCCGCATGCCGCAACTGAGACCCAATGCAGCCCCCCCCCAAAATATATATATTATATATATATATTTTAAAAAAAGAGCTAGAACATTACCATCACCCCAAAAGTTCCCTAATGCCCTTCCCTGTTAGTCCCCATCCCCATCCCCTATAGAGGCACCCACTGTTTGGATTTTTTTCCATTATAAATCAGATTACTGTGTCTAGAATTTCATATAAATAGAATCACACAGCATCTAGTTTTGGGGGTTCCCAAGACCACCCTCAGGCTTGATGATTTGCTAGAAGGACTCACAGGACTCAGAAAAGCTGTCCTACTCACAGTTTGGTTTATGACAGTGAAAGAATACAGATTAAACTCAGCGAAGGGAAGAGATGCGTGGGCAGAGACCAGGAGAATCCAGGCGCGAACTTCCAGGGGCGTTGTGTTGGGATGCACTTCATTCTCCCCGCAGCGCGATGCGTGACAGTACGCCTGAGGTGTGGTCACCCAGAGAAGCTCACTGCAGCCTTGTGCCCAGGCTTTTTATTAAGGGTCAGTCAGGTAGGCATGCAGCGCCCGTGTGACTGACCTTGGCTACTCTGTCTCCAGGCCCCCAGGTGTCAAACTGATGCAGCATGGCCCAGGGCCCCAGACACACGAAAGCACTCTTTCCAGGCAGGATATTCCAAGGGCTCAGAGGTGATCTCCCGGGAGGTGGTGGTGGGCCTGATCTGAAGACAGCCTTTCTTTGGATGTGCAGGGTTTGAGCAGCCCAGGCCTACTGAGTTAACCGTTCCTTGTGTGCAGGGCTTATTTCACCCAACATACTGTTTGGTTGCATGTGTCAGTAGGTCTTTTCCTCTTGATTGGGGAGTGGCATTCTATTGAGTGAACATCCCATGGTTTGTTTATCCGTTCCCCTGTTGATAGATACCTGAGTTTTGGGGTTTTTTTAAATTTATTTATTTATTTATTTATTTTTGGCTGTGCTGGGTCTTTGTTGCTGTGCATGGGCTTTCTCTAGTTGCGGCAAGCAGGGACTACTCTTCGTTGCGGTGCGCGGGCTTCTCCTTGCCGTGGCTTCTCTTGTTGCAGAGCACGGGCTCTAGGCGCATGGACTTAAGTAGTTCTGGAATGCAGGCTCAGTAGTTGTGGCTCGAGGGCTCTAGAGTGCAGGCTCGGTAGTTGTGGCTCACGGGCTTAGTTGCTCCGCGACATGTGGGATCTTCCCTGACCAGGGATCGAACCCGTGTCCCCTGCATTGGCAGGTGGATTCTTAACCACTGCACCACCAGGGAAGTCCCCTGCCTGTGGTTTTGAACTAAGGGAACTTCTGGGGTAATGCTGGTGTTGGAGTGGGAGTGCCAGGGGCGGGCCCATCATCTTTCAGGATCCTAACACACACTCTGTGTGGAGCCAGAATTCCTTCATCTGTAAAATGGGAATAGCACCCCTTCCTTGCCCACCTCTCATGGCAGCTTGACGATCAGAAAGAGCATCTGAGAAAGGGCCAGGCAGACGAGGCAGACACAGGTGTTCCTGGAAGGAGATGCGAGGTGGGCCATGTCAGCCGGGGCTTTATCCTTCTCTCTCTCTCTCTCTCTCTCTGTCTCACCAGGAGTCCGCTCGGAATTTGATCAGATCGACACGTCCAACCCAAACTGTGTCGTAATTGCAGATGCAGGAGAAGGCTTTTCTTATCAAAACATGAATAAAGCTTTCCAGGTGCTCATGGAGCTGGAGAATCCTGTGCTCTTCTCACTGGGAAAAGGGTAAGTCAGCTGCAGGGAGAGTCGTTTATGGCCACTTTGGGTCATGCTCTGTGCATCTCTGACTTAACAGAATCAGCAGAGAAGATGGGAAAAGTGGGTGTGGGGTGGATGCAGGGTGACTCCTTCTTCCTTCCCTCCCCTTTTCTTGCTTTTTTTTCCCCTTCATTTCTTCATTCCTGTCTTTTGATAATTTTTGAGGAAATTCCCTATCTTTAGGAGCTGGTTGGTCAAGCTTCCCTGCGGGTCCGAGGCTGGAAGAGGCCAGGGGCAGGGGAGGGTCACTGCAGAGGAGACCCCTGGAGATCTCAGGGGCCTGTGTTGACTGTCCTGACTTTAGGTGCATTGGATACAGCACAAGACTTGGATGGATTGGGCCAAGGGGGCACCTAAGTAGTAGAAAATAGGCTCGAGGGCCTGTGGGATGCTCTTGTCCGGGCCCCATATCTCTGGCTGCACAGCGCAGTCTGTGTAAAGTTGTGATTTTGTGACCAACGTTTTTGTCCGAGTCTTCAGCCTGAGCCTCACTGTCTCTTTTAAAAAACCATGTTGGTTATTTTTCTTACCATCTTTTACCACCAAGGCAGCACATATTCACTGACGAAAAATTAGAGAATACAGATGAGCAAAAAGAAGAAAACAAAAAGAATTTCCAGTCCCACTGCATGAGAAAACAACTGTCAACGTATTGATATGCGTCCTTCCAAGTGGCTTCCTGTGCAGAGGGATCGTTACACATGCGTGTATTTACCTCGGTGTCAAACTTGACCTACTTCTGTCACCCATTTTTAGTTGTTCACCAAACATTTTGTGAACCACTTTCCATACAATAAGTAGATGTCTCTGTGGTGAGGTTATTCCTATCAATTGTTTTTACAGTTTTTTTTTTTTTTTGTGGTACGCGGGCCTCTCACTGCTGTGGCCTCTCCCGTCGCGGAGCACAGGCTCCGGACGCGCAGGCTCAGCGGCCATGGCTCACGGGCCCAGCCGCTTCGCGGCACGTGGGATCCTCCCGGACTGGGGCACGAACCGGGGCGCGAACCCGTGTCCCCCGCATCGGCAGGCGGACTCTCAACCACTGCGCCACCAGGGAAGCCCCTACAGTTATTTTTAAAAAAATAACTCTCCTATAGTTATTGTAACCAACGCCTGCTGATGGACATTTGTGTTGTTTCTAGTTTTCTACCAAAGGAAGGCTGTGATCAATATCTTTGATGTGTATTTTTGAGGTTCTTAATGTATGTTGCCAAGCTGCTTTCCAGAAAGCTGTGCAGATTTATTGTGTCCTCAGTGGAAGCAACACTAGGATTTTAGAACCATGAGGATGCTGTGGAGCTCTATCCCAGCTTCTCGTGCGGGGCAGGAATTCTGTGGCCGTCTCTGGGGGAGCCTTTCTCAGTTTAGGTGCTTCTGGTGATTGGGAACTTCCTTTCTCTGTCTGCTGAGCAGGGCAGCTATTCCAGGTGACACCAGGGGGCTTTTTATCTGGCCGCCAGCCATTGCTAAGCACTTTATGTAGTTCCATGTTTAATTCTGACCACGACACTGTGAGCTGTAGGCAGTGTCATTGCCATTTTACAGATGGGCATATTGAGGCATAGGGAGGTGAAGTAAGCCATGGTCCCCCCGTCTGTAAGTGCCAGCATGGCCAGGAGTGCCCCCCAGAGCCTGTGCTCTGTCGCCTCTAGGCTACATTCAAGAGCAGACATTTGGTCCACACAGGATCTTAAATTTTTTTGAGGATGTTTTAAAAATTGGGAGATTTTACATAAAATAACCAGATTTCTGGATCCTTTTGAGAAATCAGAAGATCTGGCAGTCCTGGCCCCACATTCCCGAGGGCACCGCAGCTTGGCTGGAACCACTGGTCCGTTAGTTCCGGTGCACCACGGACCTGACCATGTCCTCCTGCCCCTTCTCCGAGTTTCAGAGTTGGTTGCCGTTCATCTTGTACCAATTGTTGTTTTTCTCATAGGAGAGAAATATCTTTTCATGGCTATGTCTCTTTCAAAATAGGCAAATGAAAGATTTAAAGAAAGAGAAGAGAGGATATACTTCTTTTCGGAGCTACAAATATTCTAGTGTGTTTATGATGAAAATAAAATGTGTCCTGTATTAGTCAGTGCTCTCCAGAGAAACAAAACCAACAGGATGTGGAGATGTATATACAGACAGTCCGTGACTTAGCGATGGTTCGAATTATGATTTTTCGACTTTGTGATGGTGTGAAAGCTACGCACGTTCAGTAAAAATCAGACTTCGAATTTTGATCTTTTCCCGTATGCAGTATGATGCTCTCTTATGATGCTGGGCAGTAGCAGCAGGTGGCAGCTCCCAGGCAGCCACTCGACCACGAGGGTAAACAACGGATACACTTTACGACCATTCTGTACCCAGATCGCCATTCTGTTTTTCTCTTTCAGTACAGCATTCAATAAAATACATGAGATATTCAATGCTTTATTATAAAATAGACTTTGCATTAGATGATGCTGCCCAGCTGTAGGCTAATATAGTGTTCTGAGCACATTTAAGGTAGGCTGGGCTAAGCTATAGTATTTGGTAGGTTGGGCTTATTAAATGCATTTTTTTTTTTTTTTTTTTTTTGTGGTACGCGGGCCTCTCACTGCTGTGGCCTCTCCCGTTGCGGAGCACAGGCTCCGGATGCTCAGGCTCAGCGGCCATGACTCACAGGCCTAGCTGCTCTGTGGCATGTGGGATCTTCCCGGACCGGGGCACGAACCCGTGTCCCCTGCATCGGCAGGCGGACTGTCAACCACTGCGCCACCAGGGAAGCCCTAAATGCATTTTTGACTTACAATATTTTCAACTTATGATGGGTTTATCAGGACGTAACCCCATGGTAAGTTGAGGAAGATGTGTATATAAAGAGAAGTTGATTGTGGAGTCTAGGTATGTCCAGAATTTGCAGCATAGGCCGGCAGGCTGGAGATGCAGGGGAGGGTTGCAGTCTGAATGCCAGGCTGTCTGCTGGCAGGTTCCTTCTTGCTCAGAGAGCTCAGACTTCGTTCTGGTTGTGCCTTCAACTGACTGAACGAAGCCCGCCACGCTCTGGAGGGCAGTCTGCTTTGCTCAGGTCCACTGATTTAAATGTTAATCTCACCCAAGAGACATCTTCACAGAAGCATCCAGAATACTGTTAGACCAAATATCTGGGGAGCTTGGCCCAGCCAAGTTGACATAAAATGAACTGTCACAGTCCCTTCCAAACCTTACCTTCTTCAGTTTAGGTCATTGCAAACCACAGAACCTGGCCTGCTTAATTCTTTTACACTCCTGGCTTGGTCCTGTAGGCATCCCTGAAGTTACCAACCCCTCACTAGAGAACAACACAATTAAGGAGCTCTGTTTTAGTGACTTCCCTGGTGGTCCAGTGGTTAAGACTTCACGCTCCCAACACAGCAGGCACAGGTTCGGACTCTGGTTGGGGAGCTAAGATCCTGCCTGCCACACGGCGGGGCCAAAAAAAAAAAGAAACTCTGTTATAACTCATTTATGTTAAAATTTTTTTCTTTAAAATTGTCTCTAATTATTAAAAGTTACTATTCCAGATAAGGGGTAGTAGTCAAAATAGGTATGTTGTTGAAAACGAAAAAAAAATGAGATCAGTTTCTTTTAGCTTTGTAATTCTGTAACAAATTCAACAGTAGGCAAGTGTTTGTTTTCCAAATAAGCAATTAGTGGGGTCTCTAGCTTCTGGGGATTCTGGCTTAGGCTATGGGTTGGGTACTCAAAAATCAGAGAAAGGGACCAACAGCTTCTGGGCCTAGGTCATAGCTTCCTGGGACAGCCCAAGGAACCATGAAGAGCTGCTGTCGCATCCACGTGGGGGTCATTGATGGTGAGGGGCTGTCCTCCACTGGAGTGGGGCTGTGCGGAGTCCCCAAGGAGGCAGGGTGGCGGGGGCACTGGGGCAGAGTGTCCTCCTCCTAGAAACGGTGTGATTTACATTTGGCATCTGTTTGGACCGAGAGTGGGAATTGCCTTTGTAATTTCTTCTGTCATGCTGCCCTCAGAAAATTAAGCTGTTTACGCGACAGCCTATGGAAGGTTAATGGCTCTTGTGGGAAAGGTCAAGTGGTCATTTTGAAGGGAGTTTGTGCTGAATAATCGGAAGGGCAGAAGAAATAAAGCATAAAATCTATCTGACTGCTTCTCTCCGGCTTTTCCCTGTCTTTCCAGAATCCACAGTTTCTTCTTTGTGGCCAGAACACTTAGGTTCTCACCAGACCTGCAGTTGCTTTTATTATGCCAGTAACAAAAGATAAATATATCAGATCTCTTGTGTTTCGGGAATAACCTGGGCCTTTATAATAAAAAAAAAAAAGTTAACTTAGGTGCTAGTATTTACTGTATCTCTAAAAATGTTTTCAGCTAACAGATGGCCTTCAAGGTGCCTTTTTGTTTTCCTGGATGAAAAAGAAATAAAGACAAATTCTGGGCACTATAAAAACAAGGCCAGGGCTTCCCTGGTGGCGCAGTGGTTAAGAATCTGCCTGCCAATGCCGGAGACACGGGTTCGAGCCCTGGTCCGGGAAGATCCCACATGCCGCGGAGCAACTAAGCCCGTGAGCCACAACTACCGAGCCTGAGCTGAGCTCTGGAGCCCACACGCCACAGCTACTGAGCCTGCGCGCCTAGAGCCCGTGCTCCGCAACAAGAAAAGCCACCACAATGAGAAGTCCGTGCACCTCAACGAAGAGTAGCCCCCGCTCGCCGCAACTCGAGAAAGCCCACACGCAGCAACAAAGACCCAGCACAGCCAAAAAAAAAAAAACCCACAAATACTAAGTTCTCCAATTTTGATTTATGGAAGTCAGTTTTTCCTTTAGGTTCTAAAAGTCAGTGTAGCAAAGACAGGGTTTTAATTGTGTATTTTCTGCTGCATGTTCAGTTCTTCCCACCAGGACTAAATTTAAATTTAAGAAAGCGCAGGTATCTGTCACTCTGGAAAAAAGATTTGGGGGGAGGCTGAGGCGGGCAGAAGGGGTGCCGCGTGGGTGTCCTCGGGAGGCCTTACCGAGGGGAGGGGCCACCAGCTCCTGCCGCCTCCACGCCGCTCCGAGCTGAGGCTGCGCTGGGCCAGAGGCCCCTGGAGCCCTCAGCTCCAAACAGAGCTGTGTCTGTCGCGACAGAGTGGCCTGTTTTATAATTGTTTCCTTGGTGCCTGGCTAAGCCTCTCCTATGCTGGCCGCATTCTTTTCCTCAGCTCCATCCTCCGTGCCTGGCTCGCTTCAACATGCCCGTCCTCGGGGAGGCCCTCCCAGTCCGGCCCCTCCCGCAGCGGGCATCTCATGGGGGGCCAGGGGACGAGGCGGTGGCTCCCTGAGAGCCTGACAGACCCCCGTGCGCCTAGAGCAGCGTCCGGCCCTTGGGGCCCTCAGCAGGGTGCCGAGTCCAGGAGGCTCCGGGCCTGGGCTCTTGCATTCCTCCCCCTTGACCTTCAGGTCTCAGCTTTGATGTGTCCTTCTCTGGGCCACCTCCCCGCCTTCCTGTCCCCAGCCTGTCCAGCCCTCCTCAAGCAGAGTGCACAGAGCATGGGGTTCCACCTGTTGTCACCCATGTCCTGCCCTTTTATATTTGTCTGTGGACTTGTCTGCTTCCCCCCGAGACCGAGAGTCCCTGGGGAGCAGCCTGGGTCTGAGAGCGTCCCCTGCAAAGGGTGTGGGGCAGCTGCGTCCTAAATGTTTTGGGGGACTGAGTTAGCGGATGTCACTGCCCCCCGGCAAGCCCAGGCCTCAGCACCCGGCATCTCCCTCTGCCTCTTGGGCAAATTTTGCTTTACTTGGCCATTCCTTCAAACCCTGGACCTAGGAAACCCTGGACCCATGACCTGAGGAAAGCGTCATACCAAAGTAGTTGATCGTGGAAAAAGAAAAGGAAGCACTATTTTGAGGCTGTATAAATGCAAAATAGATGTCCAGATTTAAGATAAATGAGATTAGGAACCTCTAAGCCTTTGATTTAGGGTCACTCTTTAAAAATGGGAGCATTGGCAGGTCCTAGCTTGGTAAGCAGCGGCGGTTCTCTCTTGGCTACCAGGTACCTTCCTGCATGTGTGTGGTATCCCAGCCGAGCCACATCCTCGTGGCACGGCCCCAAGAGCACAGAGCCTCGGAACCTGGCTGAGAGGCCCAGGGTCACTTGGAGACCGAGTCCTGTAGTGATGGGAGATGCCCTCATGGCGTCAACAATCGGGCTCCAGGCTCTAATCCACCCGACAGGAGTGAGTAGCAGGGGACCAGCCCTTGCCAAGGTCAAGGGTTTGGCTACAGCCCTGCAGCCCAGCCTGCGTCCAGACGGAAGCTTCCAAGGTGGACAGTGGAGGATTCAGGGTGGGAGAGCGCTAGTCCCACCTGAGCACCAGGTGAACGCTGCGGACAGCAAGGCTCCTGCAGCCTTGGAGGCCTCAGGTGGGCCAGAGAGGGACAGGCAGAGTCCCTGGGAGCTGCAGAGCTGGAGGAAAGGCACAGCCCTGGGGCAGCTCCCGAGCTGTGCTAGCATTTCCAGTAGTCACACAGCAGGCTTCAGCGCCCACAAACTGGAAGGACCTGTGTTCATCCTTTCTTCTCCAGCTCATATCTCTTTTTTTAAAAAATTATTTATTTACTATTCATTTATTTATTATTTTTGGCTGCGTTGGGTCTTCGTTGTTGTGTCCCAGCTTTCTCTAGTTGTGGCGAGCAGGGGCTACTTTTCGTTGCGGTGCGTGAGCTCCTCATTGCGGTGGCTTCTCTCGTTGTGGAGCATGGGTTCTAGGTGTGTGGGCTTCAGTAGTTGTGGCACGTGGGCTTAGTTGCTCCGTGGCATGTGGGATCTTCCCGGACCAGGGATGGAACCCGTGTCCGCTGCATTGGCAGGCGGATTCTTAACCACTGTGCCACCAGGGAAGTCCCCCCAGCTCATATCTTATTACCCATCTCAGTCTGGGTGAGCAGTTATTTATAACAATATTCTCTAACATTTTTGGAGCAGCTTCTGCGTGCCAGGCATCATGTTAGGGACTTCGCGTACATTATTTTGCTCAAGCCTCACAGCAACCCATAAGGGTAGGTACTGGAGTTTCTTTTTGCCCATTTTACAGATTAGGAATCCGAGGCCCAGAGGGCTTAAGCAACCCAAAGTCCCACAGTTAAAAAGAAGTGGAAAGAGGATTTGAAACCCTGAGGTCAGCGTGCTTCACTAGCCTTCTCTTTGCTTTTCCACATACATGTTGTTTATTTGTATCATTTTTTTAGATTCCACATATAAGTGGTATCATACGATATTTGTCTTTCTCTGTCTGACTTCCTTCACTTGGTATGATCATCTCTAGGTCCATCCATGTTGCTGCACATGGCATTGTTTTGTTCTTTTCTATGGCTGAGTAGTATTCCATTTTGTGTTTGTGTGTGTACATATATATATGTGTGTGTGTATATATATCACATCTTTTTTATCCATTCATGTCTGTGGACATTTAGGTCACATACATGTTATTTAACGTCTCCCAAATTTGAAGGTTGAGGGGAGGGAGAAGGGTAACTGATGTGACGGGTCTGAAAACATGGTGACAGTCCTGGGTTTCCGTTAACCCTGTCTTCAGAGCAGCACAGAGTCAACTACCTTCTCACTTTATAATCGAATGGCTTTGCTCAGAGAGAACTGGGCTTGGTCACCGTGTGTCCCAAGGGGTCTGCGTGTGGCCTTGGGTGGCCAGGCAGTGGCAGCTGGGCCTTAGCTCAGCGCTCACAGGAGGGAAGATGTGAAACCGTCTTGGGAGGTCCTGCTGTGAGCCAAGCCGTCTTGGCCCCAGTGAGACGGGAAACAAATAGTTGTCTTGTCCTAAAAGCATCTGGCGCATGGAAGACCTGGCCCCTCTCCTGACCTCCAGCTACTAGGAGATGCGGCAGGTTGCTGTGGAACTAATGGAGTTTTCTTCTCCAGGCGGCAATTAGGGGTTAATTATTAGCAATTAGGGGTTCACCACATGCTCTGTGGACCAGCTGTCCTTTCGAGAACACAGGTCACTTGTGTTTCTCTGTGTTAGCAACTGGATCCAGCTGCCCCTGGGGTCCCCCACTGTGGCGAGGTCCCCACGAGGCTGGCAGCAGGGGGCCATTCTGACTGAGAGTTGCTGACTCACCGTCTCTCCCCCTCTCGTCCAGGCATGGTGGCCACCGCTGGGCTCTGTCGAGCTGACCTCCGTCGGTCATTCTCAGCGTGGTGTCTGGACTGACCCTGGCCGGTGACTCAGCTCTCTTGAGCTCCAGAACCGGGACAGGGCAGTTTCTCTTGGCACTTCCCAGGCCCCTGGGCTCAGCTCCCCTCGTCCCCTTCTGCTGTTTTCTAGACGCTACTACAAGGAGACCTCTGGCCTGATGCTGGATGTTGGTCCCTACACGAAGGCGCTTGAGGTACCTGCCCTGGGTCTGCCCGAGCCCTCTTCACGACTCAGGGCCCTCGGGGATGTTTCTGGCCTTTCTGGAGAAGAGGGTGTGCTCAGTGTTCTGAGTGCCTTCTATGTTTTCCAGCTCGCCCCCCCCCCACCCCATTTGAGGCTCCAAGCCCGGCTCTCCCCCTCCTCTGGAGCTTGGCCTCTCGGCTGCCCTAGTCATCACTCTGCCCCCCAGTCTCTCCCTCTCCTCCCCACAGCCCGTACTGCCTGCCGCTGACCCCGCTGGCCCTCCCAGCATGCTCTGTAGCTCTCCTCTCGGATTCTTGGCTTCTGGATGTGTGTGAACCTGCCTCATTCCTGACCCTCCTCTGCAGCACCCTGAGCTTGATGTGTCCTGATTAGACTCCTTCTCGGTTCCCTCCTCCAGTTTCCAAGTCTGGGCTCAGATGGGGCTCCCGCTCTGACTCACGCCTAGCCAGCTGCCCCAGCCCGGGCTCCTGGCCCAGGTCAGCCCATGTCATGTCCCGTACTCACCGCTACATTGGTCCCTGCCTGCTCGCACTCAGGTGGGAGGGTCGGACAGGCTGGCGGATGGGGCCCTGGACCTTTTCCCCTGGAGGGCCTATGACAGAGCTGGGGGTGGTCGGGGGAGAAGGGAAGGGAGGAGAAGCAAGAATGCAGATGAAAGCACTGTCGGGGTGGCCTGCTGAGATCCGGCACTGGGGCAGGCGGCAGGGTGCCTGGTGGTGGGTGCCCCCAGCATCCCGGGCAGCCCGATGTGGAGTTGTGACACTTGCCTACGAGGTGTGCCTCTCGGCCCATGTGTCTTGCCGCTTGGAGGTCCCTGGCCTGCAGGTGCACATTTGGGGCATCTCTCCTTGATTCCCCGGAGGGAGGATTTCACTGCAGAGCAGGTGTTCACCTGTACTTGCTCCCAAACCCATGCCATGTCCTTCTGTCTTTCCCCAGTATGCCTGTGGTATCGAAGCTGAGGTGGTGGGGAAACCTTCCCCTGAGTTTTTCAAGTCTGCTCTGTGGGAGATGAGGGTGGAAGCCCACCAGGTAAGCCAGCGGGTCCTGAAGCATGTGTGTGGGGGCAGCTACTGAAGGAGGCCCAGAGTGCTCCCGGGGCGGCCTCGGCGCCGGAGGTGGGTTTGAGGGCTCAGGCAGCCTGCGAAGGTTCCCTCTCGCCCCCCATGAGAGCTGATCTGACTGGAAAGAGGGAAAAAGACAGCAAAGGAGGCCCATTGAATGTTTTCCACCTGGTTAATTAGTATCAGTATAAGAGTGAGAAAAAGAAATGCCTGTGGCTCTTTTCAAGCGACTTTTGTTTCTTCTCTGGAAGGATAAGGATTGACAAGTCCTATCAATATATTAAAAATATTTCATGGAAAGACAATGCACAGCAAGATGAAAAGAACATGTTGGAGTAAAATCGTGCATCTGGCCACCTTTAAATTATAACTGTTTTTGAGACAGGTTGCCTTCCAAACATACATCTTAAAAGGAAAAAAGGCAGTTATGGTTTTAGTGTCCCCAGTGCCCATCCTCCCACCTCCCCTTCCCAGGTAGAGTGAGTTGGTCCCCTCCGGCCGGTGGGTTCCTGATGGCATTGTTGAAGAAACAGTGGGCACGTGTCTGCCGGCGGTCAGGGCTGTCCTGCTGTCTGTTTTGGACATGGCACCAGGGGACAGTGTCAGCACCCTGTGGTGAGGCTGGTGCCCCCAGGATCACCGTGCTGCTCCCTTATTCTGGGACTGGAATTTCCCATGTGTGTTCCAGTCTAGAGCACTGGTCTCTCACGATGCTTAGAGAAAGACAGCACAAAGCCATGGAAGTCTGGAACCTCTGTGCCCAAACCTCCCCTGAGATTCACAGACGCCAGAAAATACAGTTCTCGGGGGTCCCCAGGAAACACCTAGAAAATGCCCTGTGAGGCTGGTAGAGAGGAGAGGCTTGTGTTTTGAATGAGTGAAGACTACAGGAATAAATAACTTGGTTTTCATGACTACATTTCACAGTGACAGTTTTTAAAATTTGTTTTATTGTGACAAATTCCAAATATATACAAAAGCAGAGACAAGGAAACAGTGATTCTCCTCATATATCCATCACCCAGATTCAACAATTAAAAGATTTTGTCACATTCCCTTCTTCTATCCCATTTCTTTCTCTTTAAAAATTTACTTTTTTTTTCTGTTGTATTTTAAAGCAAATCCCATTCTTTTTTTTTTTTTTTTTTTGCCGTACACGGGCCTCTCACTGCTGTGGCCTCTCCCGTTGCGGAGCACAGGCTCCGGACGCGCAGGCTTAGGGGCCATGGCTCACGGGCCCAGCTGCTCCGCGGCATGTGGGATCTTCCTGGACCAGGGCACGAACCCGCGTCCCCTGCATCGGCAGGCGGACTCTCAACCACTGCGCCACCAGGGAAGCCCGCAAATCCCATTCTTAATGTTATCTTATCCTTTCAAATTATAGTGTGCCTTTCAAAAAAAGATGCTTGTTTTTGACCATCATTAATGCATTTTTGACAATGCATTAAGACATCTAACCGTGGCAAAAAAAAACCACACAAAAAAGCTGTTCAGCGTCATCACTCAGGAAATGCAAATCAAAACCACAGTGAGATCCCACCTCACACCCACTTGGATGGCCATAATAATTTTAAAAGAAAAAGGAAAATAACAAGCATTGGCAGGGATGTGGAGAAACTGGAACCCTCATATAGGAATACTGGTAGGAATGTAAAGTGGAGCACCCACTATGAAAAACAGCCAGTATGAAAAACAGTTCTGTGATAATTAAATGTAGAATTATCGTATGACCCAGCAATTCCACTCCTAGGTGTATATCCAAAAGAATTGAAAACGGGTGTTCAAACAAAACTTACACGTGAATATTCATAGCAGCACTATTCACAATAGCCAAAAGGTGGAAATAATGCAGATGTTCATCAACAAATGAATGGGTGAACAAAATGTGGTTTATTGTCACCGTGGAATATTTCAGCTATAAAAAGAATGAAATACTGATAAATCCTACCATGTGTATGAACCTTGAAAACATTATGGTAAGTGAAAGAAGCCAGTCACAAAAGGTCACATTTTATATATTTAACATTTATATGAAATGTCCAGAATAGGCAAATCCACAGAGACATAAAATAGATTAGAGGTTGCCAGGGGCTGGGAGTATGGGGGAATGGGGAGTGACTGCCCGTGGGTATGAGGTCTCCTTTTGGGTTGATAAAAAATGTCTGGAACTAGCTGGTGGTGATGGTTGTACAACATTGGGAATGTACTTAATGCCACTGATCTGTATACTTCAAAATGGTTACATTGGTAAATTTTATGTTGTTTTATCACATTGAAAAAAAAACCAAACCAAAAAAACTCTACCTAACAAAATCAATAGTAATTCCTTAGTATTATCTAATACCAGTCCATATTTAAATTTTCCTGGCTGTCTCAGAAATGTCTTTAATGTAGATTTTTAAAAAAATCAAATCCAAATAAGGTGGTTTTGTGTTTTAAACCTCTCTTTTTAACATTTTTATCATGGAACATTTCAAATATCTGTGCCAATTGCGAGAGTAACCTCATAAGCCCCCAGGTACCCATCACTGAGCTTCAGTAATTATCAACTAATAAGCACTTTTAAAAATTGTTTTTAACTGTTCATTCTGAAACAATTTCCCACATACAAAGAGGTTGCAAAAATAGTACAGAGAATTCCCCTGTGTCCTTACTGCAGCTTCCCCAAAGGCTAACATCTTATGTAACAACCACAGGACAGTTATAAACTCAGGAAGTTAGCCTTGATGCACATGTTGACTAGCCCAGGGACCCTCTGTTTTTGGACACGTTATATTTGGTGTCACGCCCCCTAGCACCCTTTATTCTGAGCAGTTCCTCAGTCTGTCTGTGTCTTTCAGGACTGTGGCAGTTTTCAAGAGTACTAGCCAGTTCTTTCGTAGAATGTCCCTGATGTTCCCTCATGATTTAATTTCAGGTTATGCATTTCTGGCATATGTAATTCTGGTTATACATTTCACAGACAGTGCCGTGCCCTCTGGTGTGTCCCATCAGAAGGCATGTGCGGGCACTCTGCGCATTATAGGCTGTGGTCACTTTGATGCCTGTCGGAGGTTCCCATTTCTGCACTGCAGAGTTACTGTTGTCCCTTTGTGACTAATAAGTATCTTATGGGGGAATACTTTGACACTGTGTAAATATTCTCTCTCCCGACATTCTTTTCCCCTCCTAATTGCAGCATCCTCTTACCTGCAACAGTTGTCACCATGGTGCCAAATGGCGGCTTTCTACTTCCGTTGTTCCCTCTATATTTATTGATTAGCATTTACTGTAAGAGAGAGCTTTCCTTTTTCTCCCATTTACTTTTTTATTTATTCCAACATGTACTTAAGGATATTTGTTTTATTCCACGAGTCACAATCCATTCCTGTTGTTACTTTGTTGCCCAGATTGTCCCCTATTTGGCCATTGGGACCACTTTGAAGATTAATAACCCCTTGTTTAATCTGTGCTCCCACCTGCTCCTCTCACCTAGATTATTTTGAATCATCTCCCAGAAATCATATCATTTCATCTGTAAGTATTTCTAAGTGTCTCTAAAAGATAGGAATTCTTTTTAAAAACATGGATGATGCCATTATCACAACTAAGTAATACTAACAATAATTCCTTAATATCATCAAATATCCAGCCATTATTCACATTTCCCTGATTGTCTTACAAGTGTTTACGTCGTCGCTTGCAGTTTCTTTGAATCAGGATCCACATGAGGTCCTCGCATTGTGATTGGCCGGTGTGTTTTCTAATCTATCCATTCCCACCCACCCGCGCCAACCCCACCCCCATCTCCCTTTTGTACTCCTTGCAGCTTTATGAAGAAGAAGCTGGCTTGTTTGTCCTGTAGAGTTTCCCACAGTGAGGATTTTGTTGATTGCGCCTCAGTGGTGTCCTGTCTCGTGCTCCCCTGTTCTCCCTGCTTCCTGAATGTTGATAGTTAGATCTAGAAGCTTAGGCAGAATCTGTTTCAGTTTTTTTGATGACTGCTTTCTGGGTTCAGAATGTCCGGGTGCCTCCTTCGGTGGCATTAGCAGCCATTGGTGATTGGTGCGTTAACCCCATTCATTCATTAAGGGCTGCAAAATGGTGATATTTGAATTCTGTCATTCCTTCTCCATTTCTTCTCTGGATTACCTCTGTATAGGAAAACGCCCCACGAACTATGCGTTCCCCTGAAGTACAGTTCATATAGGAAACTACAGATAAATGCCTATTTCTTTCTTGTTATTTATTAGCTTTCAGAATGATTGATTCTCTAACACCCTTCCAATACCTTGGAGGTTTAAAACTACATATATGACTATAAATAGACAAAAGCATATTTGACGTGTTCCAATCCATTGCAGTTATTCGTGTTCAAAGTACTGCATCTTTGACCAGTGGGAGCCTCTTCCAGCTGCCCTCTGAGTCCTGTTGTCCTGACCCCAGAGGTCTCTGAGGTGCTTTACTCCTGTTATGACAGGATAACACCTGCCTTGCACACTTCCTGCCCTAGGCCTAGAGTCTGCCATCCTTCCAAGGAGCCACGCTTACCTTTAGTGGAAAATAGTATTCAGAAACCATAGTCGGGATATTAACCGTTCTTACTGTTGTTGGGTTGGTCATCATTTCCAAGACTTAGTCTACAAGGGTTGAAAAAATATGTATCTTTAAAGATGAAGTGCAGGGCTTCCCTGGTGGCTCAGTGGTTGGGAGTCCGCCTGCCGATGCAGGGGACGCGGGTTCGTGCCCCGGTCCGGGAAGATCCCACATGCCACGGAGCAGCTGGGCCTGTGAGCCATGGCCGCTGAGCCTGCGCGTCCGGAGCCTGTGCTCCGCAACGGGAGGGGCCACAACAGTGAGAGGCCCGCGTACCGCAAAAAAAAAAAAAAAAGAAAGATGAAGTGCATAATGAGTTCATACTGAAACTTCTGATCCAGATTTAGGCTTGTGGGTTTTTACTGGATCACCCATCTTGTGTCTGTATTTCCT